AATAAAAATAAAATAAAATCAGACACAGACTTCAGTGTAGACAACACAAATATACACACTATGAACAAAAACAATATAGACATATTGACAAATAGTTCAGTGAGCAGAGTGCAAATGAAGGAGTATGCACATGTCGGAGGTAGATGTGATATACAGGTACATATACATGCATACATGTACACATGTACACAGTGCAATGAAGCATAGTGAAAAGGATACTGGAATAAATAAGTATAAGTAATAAGTATTTTGTGCAGGAGTTATGACTTGAGGTAGGTGCATTGGTATACAGTATCTACAATATGACAATATATACAGCTCTGAAATAGAGAATGGTGAATAAATAAGAAGTGTTAGCCAGTAAACAGGTGGCTGATTAGAGACAGAGTTACTGGGTTATTGCACAAGAATTGTTCCTGACACCGTGAGTCAGAAATCAGCTGTTCATCAGAGTGATGGCTTGTGGGAAGAAACTGTTTCTGAGTCTGTTGGTTTTGGCGTACAGTGCTCTGTAGCGCCTACCAGAGGGGAGAAGCTGGAACAGGTTGTGTCCGGGGTGAGATGGATCTGCAGTGATTATTCCTGGCCGTTTTCTGACTCCGGAAATATTCTGAATGGAGGGCAGGTTGGCACCGATGATTTTCTCTGCAGTCCTGACTGTCCGTTGTAGTCTACTCCTTACCATTTTGGTGTCAGATCCAAACCAGATAGTGGTTGACGTGCAGAGGACAGACTGAATGATGGCTTTGTAGAAGTGGATCAGCAGCTCCTTAGGCAGGTTGAGCTTCCTGAGCTGGCGCTAGAAGTACATCTTCTGCTGCGCCTTTTTGATGATGATTTCCGTGTTGGGCTCCCACTTTAGGTCCTGGGAAATATTGGATCCCAGAAACCTTCCATTCCACAGCAGACACAGGGCTGTTGAGGGAAGAAACTGCCTTAAGTCCACGGTCATCTCCACATGATGTGAGGTAATCAAACAAAGAGGAAGGGCAGTTGCCATGGTTACGTGTATGGGGGGCAGTTTAGGGTTCCCTGCCCTCTCTTAAGAAGGCTCCGATAGGCTGTTCAGGAGAACGCTAATCTCTGGTCAGTGTTTCCTTGTCATTTTAACAGTCAGGCACCGAGCGTTATCTCGCTGCGGCATCAAAGGTGGCCAGTTTTATGGTCAGACTGCCCAGAAACAGCACAACAGGGAAAGCGAACCTTTCACCTTTTCCTTTGGGGTCTCTTCAGCCGTCTGTTGAGTTGATATCTCACCCCCTCCTTTTCTTTTCCCAGGGAAAGAGAAAGAATTTGGAGTAGTCCAAATTTATTTGATATAAAATGCACGAATCCACACTGTTTGTACACAACACCTCCGGGCCAAAGAGGAAAAGGACGATCCAGACTGTTATCAGCGCAAAGTTCAAAAGCCAGCATCTGTGATGGTATGGGATTGTGTTAGTGCCCATGGCATGGGTAACTTGCACATCTGTGAAGGCACCATTAATGCTGGAAGGTACATACAGGTATTGGAGCAACATATGCTGCCATCCAAGCAACATCTTTTTCAGGGACACCCCTGTTTATTTCAGCAAGACAATGCCAAGCCACATTCTGCATGTGTTACAACAGCATGGCTTCGTGGTAAAAGAGTGGGGGTACTAGACTGGCCTGCCTGCAGTCCAGACCTGTCTCCCATTGAAAATGTGTGGCGCAAAATACGACAACAGAGACCCCGGACTGTTGAGCAACTGAAGTTGTACATCAAGCACGAATGGGAAAGAATTCCACCTACAAAGCTTCAACAATTAGTGTCCTCAGTTCCCAAACACTTATTGAGTGTTGTTAAAAGGAAAGGTGATATAACACAGTGGTAAACATGCCCCTGTCCCTGCAGTGAATATTATATTATATATAATTATTATTATATATATAGTGAAAAGTGAGTGAATATTTGCAAAAAACAATACAGTTTATCAGTTTGAACATTAAATATCTTTTCTTTGTAGTGTATTCAATTGAACATTGAAACTGATTTGCAAATCCTTGTATTCTGTTTGTAGTTACGTTTTACACAATGTCCCAACTTCATTGGAATTGGGGTTGTAATTACTGCTTAAGCACTTCTGTTTAGATGCTATCTGCATTTCATTGCTTTGTACCAGTGACTTGTGTCTAATCTAATGTTAAACGTGAATGAAATGTAATCTGCGTTCAATAGAGCAGTTGTCATACACTGTTGGGGGATTTTATGGGTCTCTGTAAATAATATTAAACTGAGTAGGTACTGTCTAGACCTGCTCTATATAAAAAGTGCAATGAGATGAAAAAAAATGAATACATTTGAAATAACAAACATGGATTGTAACATTTACCTAGCCAAGTAAAACGTTTGAATTCCAGAGTGAAAACAAATATCATGCTTTTTGTAGAAAGACTCACAAAATACTTAAAATGAAATAACAAGTATATTGATGTCAAAATGTGTATCTACAATAACTAATCCTCAATTTCACTGCACATGCCTAAGCACCAGTGCTAACAATTTACATAAAATATGAAATGATGTAGAGTCCAACAAAGGTTAAAGTCAAGGGCAACTGGACTTGGCTGAAGATACTGGAAGACATTTCGTCCCTCATCCAAGGGACTTCTTCAGTTCTGACTGACTGGTAGGGAAACTCAGCTATTTAACCTCAGTGGGGTCGTTTGCCGGGATCGTTGATACTGCTGGTTCGTTAGTGTTCCTGGTTGCTGTAACGACAGTCGTTACAGTCGTTAGGACTACCGAAGGCCAAGTCTGAACAACCATTGTTGTCTTCACCTGAGGCCAATAGGTTACGTTGAGTTTCCTGGGAAGTGATGAAAGGACAGCATTGTAAGTGGGGGATAAGTGGTGGCGTAGACCCCCTCCCCTGTTCAATGACGGCTTCTCGACCCGGGTGTAGATGGCTTCCTTGACACCTCTTTCAAACCATCCATCTTCTCTGTCTAAAATGTGCACCTGGTGGTCCTCAAACGAGTGTCCTCTGTCCTTCAGATGTAAGTAGACTGCAGAGTCTTGACCTGAGGAGTTGGCCCTTCTGTGTTGAGCCATGCGTTTGTGTAGTGGTTGTTTAGTTTCCCCTATATACAGGTCTGTGCATTCCTCATTGCATTGGACCGCATACACTAGATTGCTTTTCTTGTGTTTGGGTGTGCGGTCTTTGGGGTGTACCAGCATCTGTCTTAGTGTGTTCTTGGGCTTAAAAAAAGACAGGGATGTTGTGTTTGTTGAAAATCCTCCTGAGTTTCTCTGATACTCCAGACACGTATGGAATCACAATGTTGTTGCGTTTGACCTTCTTTTCCTCCTCCCCTGTAGTTTTGTTCTTCTTGGATCTTGTGGCTGTTTAACCTTCGTTGGATAACTATGACTTGGATGACTGAGAATCTTCATAGACAATGATGTAGTGGTAATGAAATCACAGGGTGGGCTTAGCTAGCTAACATCACATAGCTCATTCAGGCTTGTTTGGACTGGGATGTTTTCAGGATTGCTACCAACAATCTGGATGAGTTCATTGATGCTGTGACGTCCTACATCAGCTTCTGTGAGGACAGCTGCATACCAACATGGACCAGGGTGAGTTATAACAATGACAAACCAGGCAAGGAGCAGGCATTTAGGAGTGGTGACAGGGCCAGGTACAGGGCGTTAAAGTACAGGTTTAGCAAGGAGGTGCGAGAAGAAGCTAAACGACTGTATGCAGAGAGGCTAAAGGACCAGTTCTCTGCAAATGACGCCACTTCTGTCTGGAGGGGGTTCAGACAGATCACAAACTACAAACCCAAACCCCCCACTCAACTTTGTTTTTGCCAACTCTCGCCTGGCAAATGAGCTGAACCAGTTCTGCTGCTTTGAGGGTCAATCGGACACCATCCCCTATGACTCCTCCGCTCAGCTTCCTGTTTGTGGATTTCAGCTCTGCTTTCAACACCATCATCCTGGCCCTGCTGCAGGACAAGCTCTCCCAGCTGAGCCTGTCTGACTCCACCTGCAGGTGGATCACAAACTTCCTGACAGACAGGAAGCAGCACGTGAAGCTGGGAAAACATCTCTCTGATTCCAGGACCATCAGCACTGGTTCCCCTCAAGGTGGCTGAGCTACACTAATGGTTATCCACGATTGCCCTAGTTGTCCAAATGCTTTCTTTTTAAACCTTCCTCTAAACTCTGTTTAATTTTAATCCGGAGCATCCCAAACTTTTCCAGCTCAGGAATGTCAGACACTATAGCAGACACTATATTTAAAAACAAATTTACGTGGCGGTTATAAACTTATTCACTACATGTGAAGTAATTTTGCAAGGGCCATAATGACTTCATTATGACATCACATGTGACAGCTGTGGGGAAGGCTACTTCAGTAAAATAATTGTAAATGGACTGCATTTATGTAGCGCCTTTCTAGTCTTCCGACCACATGTCAACATTAACCCATTCACTGATGGCAGAGGCTGCCATGCAAGGTGTCAACTACTCAATAGAAAGAAAAAAATGTTGATTCACACACACGGAAAACTTTGGTTTCAGTATCTTCCCCAAGGCCTACTTCGACCTGCAAGCTTGGTGATTAGTGGACAACCTGCTCTACCTCTAAGCCACAGCTGCCCCACCAACAACTCTGGACAAGAGACTGAACGAAAACTGGAAAAGCTGTCTGTGAACACCAGACCAAAACTGCTTACAGCATCCACTAGGAAGATGTCAAAGGTCACACATGGTTATGAACTTGATATCTTGACTAGATTCGTCTTATTATATTAATAGATATTTTTAGTATTCCTTCTCCAATTTTTCCTTTGAATGGGAAAGCGGATACACATTTCAGGACAACACATTTTTTTCTCATGTATTTCAATAATTCAAAATATGCACCTGTAATTTTTTGGAGTAACTCTAATGCATTCTAAATATCAATGGATCTCCTGGTTTTAGTTCATGTTATACAGTAAATATGTTAAGTGTTCTGTACCTCCATATCATTGCAGAAAGTAGCATTGGTTCCAAACAGGATCTGACATTGTTCATCTACACTGTAGTGCATGCCTGGCAGCTTGGGGGGAAGCCGGACCTGGTAACGGCTCCTGGGGTCTGTGTGCAGCAGACAGGCACTGGCTTTGGACCTGTTTGAAAGACACAAAAGAGAAGGATTCATACTGTGTGCTTACCAGTAATCTGTTACTAAAATGAGCTTTCTTTTCATTGTTAAATGTGAATTCAAAAGATCTGTCCCACTTTGAATGTTATTCCTCCGTTTGTCATCATGCCTCTTTGCCACTTGTCGGTGCTAGCACCATGACATTGAACATAATGAGCCCGAAGCTCCGTCGTGTACACTAGCTCACGCTGTTTGGCCAAGTGGGAACCTCCATGTCTGAAAACACAATGCGGAGGTGCCTTAAAGCTGCATTCTTTTTAATGGCCAGCAGGGGGCGATGCCACTGGTTGAAAGAAGTCCAATTCCATTAGAATTAATGTCAAAAGAGCCTACTTCCTATTTGATTTATTACATCAGTAAACTCTTTAGTTTATGCTTTCAGTCGCTAGTTTCAAGTCTTCAACACAGCATGATGTTCATTTAGTAAATTATGTTCCCATTTAGAGGAAAACAGACCAGAAAGCAGGGTTTGCTTGAAGGCGAATCTACTTTGTAAGTGACAAGTCACTACATTGGTGACTTGTCAATCAGGAAAGAGACGCCTCATATCCACTATACCGTTCAAATTTAACCCACACCATGGAAAAAGCTGATTAGGAGTCAGCTTTTAATTTTTCTAGTAAGTACATTTTGTTTTAAGCCTGTTTTTTGCTAGCCAAAATTAACATCCCAGTTAACCTAAATTTCGGATGCACCTTGCTTACCAAGCGTCTGTGCCTTCGTTACGTCCGGTGCCCTTGTTTAAAAATTGTAGTCCATAAATCAATGTGTGACATCACAATGACTGTGTCCACTTCTTTCATAGTCTATGGTTATTCCCAGTTAAGTCAGACAGGATACACAGGCAAAGAAAAAGTAAGGCTGACAACTGATGCCTCACAGGGCACAGTGACTGATAATACTAATCTGGTGGATGCTCAGGGAGAAGCAGGGAAAGGTAGGTCCAGAAGATAGAGAAAGAAGGTGGAACAGAGGGAACACAGAGGGAGAAGTAGTGTCACCACACTGTCACTTCTACAAGAAGATATAAGGCAATAAGTTTATCATAGATATCATTATATATCATTTCAGTACGTTGCGATTCAGGGCATCACTTCCTACTTCCTTACACAATCCCACTCACACAATTCCACTCAGACCACTACAGAGGGATGACCAAGAATTCAACACTTCCAGTCTATTGTAACAGAATTACAGGGAACCTGGTGAAGCGCAATATGTCCACATACTCCCCATGAACACCCAAGTCACTGTGGAGGGAGTCCAACCATCGTCCAAGACCTGCTATGCTACTGTTCTTCCTCCCCGATGGACAGACAGTCCCTCAATGGAGACCTACCCTGAGTTACTCAGCTGCAAGGTGCAGACACTCTACCTGGACACCACTTGCTGCAGCCCAGAGCATACCTTCCCCAGACAGCAAGAGGCCATCAACTTTGAAGCCAGCACATCCTTTGAATTGGTGACGCTCAACACATGTACACCCCGCGACCCTGTACGCAGGATAAGCGGTTGACGATGGATGGATGGATGGAACACATGTACACTTGTGGTGTGTGGATCCTACTGTGTGGGAAAAGAGAAGGTTTCTCTGGCACTGGCAGAGGCCCTGTGCCTCTCTAGAGCCAAATACAACACATGTACTGTCTGGAGTCAGAGCAAGTCACACAATGTATTATCACTGACTGGAAGGCAGTCCAGGTCCACGTGTTCAGCTCTCCTTCAAAAAACTGCCTGGCACATTATGCATGATATAATCGGCTGCTGGCCTTTAAGCCCATAGGCTGGACCTTCAGCCAGCTGGAGGAATCAGAATCAGCTTTATTTGCCAGGTACAGTATACGTACACATATGAGGAATTGACTCGGAATTGTACAATGGTCACAATGCGCTTACTTATATAATAATACAATAATAAAATCACACACAGGCCACAGTATAGAGAACACATATATACACACTGTAAACAAAAATAATATAGACAGATTGAGACAATAGTGCAATGAGCAGAGTTCAAAGAATGCAGGAGTAAAATTATCATTATTATGTACATGTGGGAGGTGGATGAGATATACAGGTACACATACACATACATGTACACATTGCGATTGAGCATAGTGCAAAGGATATTGGAATAAATAAGTATTCTGTGCAAATGTTAAGGTAGGTGGATTTGGTATAAAGTATATACAATATACAATATGAACAGTATCAACAGCTCTGAAATAGAGAATGATGAATGAATAATAAGTCGTAACCAGTAAACAGGTGGCTGATTAGAGACAGAATTACTGGGTTATTGCACAAGAATTGTTCCTGAAACTGTGAGTCAGAGTCAGCTGTTCATCAGAGTGATGGCTTGTGGGAAGAAACTGTTCCTGAGTCTGTTGGTTTTGGCGTACAGTGCTCTGTAGCACCTACCAGAGCGGAGAAGCTGGAACAGGTTGTGTCCGGGGTGAGATGGATCTGCAGTGATTTTTCCTGCCCGTTTCCCGACTCCAGAAATGTCCTGAATGGAGAGCAGGTTGGTACCAATGATTTTATCTGCAGTCCTGACTGTCCGTTGTAGTCTGCTCCTGTCCTTTTTTTGTGGCAGATCCAAATAGACAATGATGGAAGTGCAGAGGACAGACTGGATAATGGCTTTGTAGAAGTGGATCAGCAGCTCCTTATGCAGGTTGAGCTTCCTGAGCTGGTGCAGGAAGTACATCTTCTGCTCGGCCTTCTTGATGATGGTGTTAATGTTGGGCTCCGCTTTAGGTCCTGGGAAATAGTTGATCACAGAAACCTGAAGGATTCCACAGCAGACACAGGGCTGTTGAGTATGGTGATGGGGGTAGAGTGGGGGGGGGGCTCCTCCTGAAGTCCACGGTCATCTCCACAGTTTTGAGCGTTTTAAGCTCCAGGTTGTTCTGCCCGCACCAGAGAGTCAGCTGATCAACCTCGTGTCTCTAGGCCGACTCATCACCGCCCCGGATGAGGCCGATAACCGTTGTGTCATCAGTGAACTTCAGGATTTGACAGATGGGTCACCTGAGGTGCAGTCGTTGGTGTAGAGGGAGAGTAGCAGGGGGGAGAGCATGCACCCCTGGGGGGCGCCAGTGCTAATAGTCCAGGGGCAGGTTGTGATGTTACCCAGCCTCATCTGCTGACTCCTGTCAGTCAGGAAGTTTGTAATCCACTGACAGGTGGAGGCTGGCACAGTGAGCTGGGTGATTTTGGTGCTGAGGATGTCCGGGATGATGGTGTTGAATGCCGAGCTGAAGTGAATCAGTGGAAGGAAGTTTTTCCTTGCCTCTGTCGCCTAGTGCTTGCTCTTGGTGGGAACTGTTGGGCTTCTGTAAATATCATCACAGAGTACGGTCTAGACCTGCTCTTTTATGAAAAGCGCTGTGAGATAACTGTTGTTGTGATTTGGCGCTATATAAATAAAATTGAATTGAATGATAATCAACCTAAGTTCAGTGACCACATCTCAAACTATGGAATCTTATATAGCGAACACGGCAGCTTTCTGGAGTTGAAGTGTTTTGTCCAGTGACTCCAGCCCCTCAAGATCACCCCTACAGTCAACAATGGCAGCTGTCTCTCAGGCAATCTCTGCCTTCTTTTCATCCCTTTGTTCACAGGCTGCACTCACCTCCCGTGCACACACATCCTTTTATCCCATCATCCCTTCCTCTACCCTTCCTTCCGCCGTTTACAGCAAAATGGCTTCTGCTCCTCTCTCTCTCCAAGCAGCCAACGCATCAATTCAAGAGCCACTCACAACTCAATGGGCCTCAATATGCGAGTCTGCAATCCTCAGCTTTCTTTCATTTCCAACTGGTCTGTCTGTATATGTAATAATATCCAATCCAATCCACTTTATTTCTATAGCACATTTTACAAACACAAAGTTACCAAAGTGCTGCACAGAAGACTCAAACATACAAAACAATTAATACAAAATTTTGTAAAAGCAAAATAAGAGCATCAGGTTTAAATGCTAAAATACAGTAAAACAATAAAAGACATCAGAGGGCCACACAACTCACTCGGAGTTAAAAGCCAAAGAATAAAAATGTGTCTTTAGACGAGACTTAAAACACTCAACTGTAGGGGCTGTTTGGACATGGAGGGGCAGAGCGTTCCAGAGTTTAGGTCCAACCACAGAAAAGGCCCCTGTCCCCCCAAGTCTTGTCTTGGGGACCGCAAGCTGGAGCTGGCCCTCTGACCTCAGTGACCGCTCTGGCGTATAAATTTGGATGAGGTCCGAGATTTATGTTGGGGCCAGTCCATTCACAGCTTTAAAAACAAACAATAAAATCTTAAAATCAATCCTAAAACGAACAGGAAGTCAGTGCAATGAGGCAAGAATTGGAGTTATATAGTTCCTGTTAAAAGACGTGCTGCAGAATTTTGGACTAACTGTAAGCGTGAAAGTGCGTTGTGATTTATACCGATATAAAGTGCATTACAGTAGTCTAAACAAGAAGAAATAAAAGCATGTGTAGCTTCTTCAAAACTGTTAAAAGACAAAAATGGTTTAACTTTGGCTAAAAGGCGAAGATGATAAAAACTAGATTTCACAACCGCATTTATTTGTTTGTCAGGTTTAAGTATTTTGACCCCAAGGTTAATTACAACAGGATGCACAAAGTCATTGAGGGGGCCCAACTTATCATGGAGTTAGTGGGGCCAAACTGCACGATCTGGTTTACTCTCATTTCGTTTTCAGAAATTTTGGGCTAACCACGCTTTGACGTCATTTAAACAGTCAAGTAGGGGTGTCAGGGGGCTGCCTTCATGCTTTCTGATTGGCATATAAATGTGACCATCATCAGCATAAAGATGATAGGAGATGCCATGCTTTTTAAAAACTATTCCAAGTGGAAGGAGGTACAGTGCAAAAAGAATAGGACCAAGAATTGATCCCTGGGGGACCCCACAGTTAAGAGGCTGATGAGGTAGAGTCCCCCATTT